CATTGGTAATGTCTGACTGGGCCTTGTGTCACTTTATGTTCAACAAATTGGGTCCCGAGGTCAAAAAGTTTAAGAACCCCTGCAATAGTTTGTAAAATAACTGGTGTTTGCAGGTCGGGAGGAGGCGGAGGAGGCCCTGCAGAATAATGGTCTGAACGCCGAGTGTCATAAATGGTAAAACTAAAAACAACACACACTTGGGTTTTGCTGAACTCAGATCAGGTCCCACAGGAACTTTTGTGTGTGCAGGTTTGCTGTGCTGACTGGACTGGCCTCGCAGCATGAGAGCACTCACAGCAAACTCAGGAGCAGCAGCATACTGAAGGTAGTAAACACAAGCCCCTTTTACAAGACATATCCGCGATCATGGCGCCAAGCCCTGCCCGGCTAAATGCCGGTCCGTTCATTCATAAAACAAAGAATAAGCCGGCCACATCCCGCCCTCAAGTGGAGCATTCACAAATCATTTTACATAGTGAGAAGTTCGGAGGTGTGGGAAAAAAAAACAGCTGCGATTACGCATTGCTTACGTATTTCATGTGGGACCGCTGACGTAAGTGTAAAGAGTAGCAAACATGGCGATGCTAGCGGCTACCCTGGTGGTTCTGCAAATGCTTTTGCTTTATAAATATGGCGATGCGCAAAGAGCAGATAATTCATTCACCAGATAATTTAGAGGCGATTTGTCTGACGTTTTTTTTCCAGACTGTCTGACAGGTGAAATAAAGATAAAATAAATAAAATGGTTAAAATGGCTTTGCTTTATTTACTAAAGAGCAAGCAAACGTTGCGCACAGCAGATAATTAATTCACCAGATGATTTAGAGAAGGTTTTGCCACTCCAGCAGCTGGGAGCTGAGGGACTTTTTTTTCCCCCGAGCTCAGGGAGCTGCTGTCTCATCACATCCTTAAGTTTTGCAATCCGCTCCAGCAGCACACTGCCCTTCACTGTGAAGTTCTTATTTATCTCCTCTTTGCGGATCAGGGCTGGGAAGATCTGTTTCGCCTTTCCGCAAACGTATTTTTCTGAATGCTCTAAGGAGGACAGATCYCAAATTAGGCCCGGAACAATGCGTTTTGTGAATGAGGCTARAGCATTAATCATTTACATAACACATCCTCTGAGGAGCGTAATTCCACAAAGGTTTTAGGGCCTGATCTACTAGAACAGTGGTGTCCAAAGTCAGTCCTCAAGAGCCGGTGTCCTGCATGATTTAGGTGCTGCTCTGGTTCAACACAGCTGAACCTAAGGAGTGCTTGATTAGTAGACCTCTGCAGACCTTACTGAGGAGGCCTACTAGTTAGGCACTCCTTAAGTTCAGCTGTGTTGAACCAGAGCAGCACCTAAATCATGCAGGACACCGGCTCTTGAGGACTGACTTTGGACACCGCTGTAGTAGAGGTTTGTYTGTATAAAAACACATGCAAACTTGAGAGCACACACAAAGCTGATCTGCTGTATGTGTGCTGAGGATAGTGCTTTAACTCATTTATGCATGTTTGAGAAATCCTGCACTGTCCTCAGGCAGTCATTCAGGAGAACAAAAACAACCGGTTGGTCCAGAACCGCCTTTTAGCTGCAGCCCTTCCTCTGGGCTGTGTCTCCAAGATGAGCTTCCACATGACAGAGCACGCCTCCCGTGACTCCTGCTGGCTATCAGCAGCAACAACTAGCAAGCAAATACCTGATGAAACCACACGTCTGTTGAGCTTGTAATAAGATTTCTTAGTTCAGTCTTTTTCAGATTAAAAAATGCCTTTGATGAAATGTATTTTCGGATGCCAAGGATCATGACACTGTTCTTAAGAAATGTATGATTTCAGTTTTTAAAGTAACCCTCCGACAAAAAAATATATATATTAATTTGTACGAGCCACTTTACGGATGATAGCTTTCTGAACAAAAGGGAATTTAACAGTGGATGAATAAGATGCAATTCCAGCACTCAGAAGTACACAAATACCATTGTTGTTTGGCGGTTGCT